GGGGGGGGGGGGGGGGGGGGGGGGGGCAATAACAGCCTCAGCGGCTGTTCTCGTGGCCAGAGTGGAGCCTTTGAGTTTCAGATTCAAAAGATGAAGAAGGTTTCAGGCTAACAAGGTCGTCAGCATGTGTATCATCATCAAATAAAAAATGTGTTTGTGGTGAAAATGTCAAAATTGTGTGTTACTTGCCAAACACTCAAAACTGACAATAACTGTTAGCTCCGAAAGGTGCAAAAGAAATGACTACAGGGAGTATAAAGGGAAATGAACTAATGTATATGTATGGAATGTAGTAACAGCAGAGCAGGTGGCCATATGTATTTAAAATGGACACATTTAACAAAAACTACTGGGAAAAATGAGTAATTCCATAAAATACAAAAGTAAAAAGCTAATAGTAACCCAAAACTAGTTGAGGAATTATAGGTTAGCTTAACATTTCTCAAAAAATGGTAAACATATTAGCAAAGGTTAATGCTTTTATGTTTGTTTGTTTTTTCAAACCAGGAATAAGCCAAACAAGCTTGTACTAAGCTAAATCTAAATTAGCTACAACCAGCTAAATGTTAGCAAAGACACAGCTAAACTTTAGCCACAATTAACTGAATACATCTAAAGGTTGGTATAGACATGAGACATCTGATGAGGCTAAAAGCAAGTTTGGAATATAGCAGCTACATCGAGGCACAAATCGACTCAAAGTTGGTCAAAAAATGTCGAAGAGAAGTGCTCAGGAATGGCTAAAGGTTAGCAAGATGTTCAGAAGCGAGTCAAGAAATAAAAATCTTGGGAAGAGTTCAGGACCAGAAACGTCAAAAAGAGACACATTTCAGACGAGGTGGACGTAGTCCTCCAGTAGAGGCCTCTTCATGACAGCTGTCAGGAGGCTGGTGCTAACAGAAGCGTGTGTGTGTGTGTGTGTTCTTTAAGTGTCTACACACTGTCAATGTTCCCAGAAACACCCACACAGGACGGAGGACAGGACTGTCCCTGTACGCCGAAACAACAGGAGGAAACAGTCAAAATCACATCACTTTACAGACTTCCACTTCCCTCCAAACACCTCTGCTAGGTTGGCGTCACATGTTACACAACACACACACAGACACACACACACACCACCATCGGACTCCGACAACACCTCCTGTTTTATCAAACCAAACCATATGTACAGACTGTCCTGCTGAGACAGAGCTCGACCGACTGTAGATACAACCCACACACTGACAGTAAACACCACCGCCAGCGGTAGACTCTGTTTCTATGCAGACGATGTCGTTGTTGTTGTTGTTTTGTCAGGTGATGCGTTTCACAAAAGTCCTAAAATTTGTCGTCAACAATCAAAAAAATGGATGTTTGCCTCTTTGAAAAAGTAAGTTATCTAAGCTAATATTAGCTGTAGTCTTTAAGCTAACCTTTAGCTATTTCTATTTTTGAGTAATTACCTCTGCTGAGTTAGCCATAGTGATGAATTACCTTGATGCTAAGTACCTTATTTTGACCATAACTTAACTGGAGTTACTGTAAGTAACGGAATAGAAGCTAAGCTAAAGTACCAGCTAACATACATGTCCAAAACATGAGCTAAGTCTGTATTTTTAGATTTCTATAACTGTGTTAGGTGGTTTAAAGTTAGCCAAAAAACATTAGCTTGTTTTGTTAATAGGTGAGCACTGGAGATCCAAAGACAGAGCAGACGAGTGTGTGTTTTTAAACTGTAACTGTCGACGGTGCAGCTGATGATGCTGAACATTTTATAGCAGCACTTTCTCGCCTTATTTCTGGGGCAATCATCTTTACTAGGGTTAAATTAATTTCTCATTTTCAGAGCCCGGGATCCCCCTCCCCTACTCCCACTCCCACCCCGCCTCTTACCTCAGGAGGTTGGGCAGAGGAATGGATCCGGAGCCTGACCCCAGGATTCCCTTCTTTCCACTCAACAATTTCTCCACCAGGGCGACGTTCCCAGTCCGGGCCGCTTCCAGCAGCTCCTGCTCCTTCCCCATCCCGGACCGGACACAAGTTTGCAGCAACGACGGTGTGAAGAAGAAGAAAATCCAGCAAATCTCCCATAAATCCTCCTCGTTCTCCTGCTCCCCCCGGTTCTCTCTCCTCAGTGTCTGCTGAGGGGAAGCATCCTCTCACTGCATCCTCCTCCTCCCGACCGAGGTGTCAGTGATGCTGCAGAGCGGCGTGGACGTGCACGGCTCCCAGCCGCTGCTCAATCACCTCAGTCCATTCACATCCCCCTCCCCTTGCACACTCACACACACACACACACACACACACTCACACTTATGGACAAGCTCACACGCTCCGATAGATTCCCTTCAGCGCTGCCCGGCTGACGCTCACTGCTCCCCGGCGTAAACCTCAGCAAACACAGGAGAACCGGAGCGGGTTGACAAGTCAACACAAAAGCCGAGTAAAGACAACAAACAACGCTCAAACACAACAACACACACGTAAACTCCTTTCAGTCCAAGCGGAGCCTCCAGTTGAAAGCAGGCGGGAGCTGAAGCTTTCATCCGCCGCCTCCAGGAGCTCTCCAGTCTCGGTGCGTTCGTCGCCACTGGCCGGGGGCAGACAGCACTGAGTAGCCGGTGTTTGACTGTGGAGAAGCTACACACTCGCGTCAAAGCCGCAAACGGTATATAAAAAGCGCTTCCGGTCAAATTCTTCAAAATAAAAGATACAGCTTCTTGTTGTTATACGCCTTAACGCCAATAGGCGATTTAAACAAAATATACATGCATAGATAATACTCATGATTACAACGTCAACATTTTTATTTTATTTTTATTGATTTCAATCTCTCATTGGACGTTATAAATGAATGTGTTTTTTTAAATACTTTTAATTGTCTGATAAAAAAACAAACAAGTTTGGCAAAAATATATCGTTGTTAAAATATTGCATTTTAATATTTGATACATTAAGTTCTAATCATTTCAAACAAGTTTGGCAAAAATATATCGTTTTTAAATATTGCATTTTAATTTGATACATTAAGTTCTATTCATGAACGTATTAATTATAAATATTGTATTACATACAGTAATTTCAGTCTCTTCTTATATACATTGTTTCTTGAAGTACAATGGGTTTTTGTGTTCTGTTTTTTTTTTTTTCTCTGATGGATTATTTTGGTTATCAAAATGATTTAATTATATAATTATTTATTTTATTAAGTACGATTCACGCCAAACTTAAATAGTAAATAATTATGAACCATTCATCAAAAAGTTTTAATTATATAACTATAAGTACGATTCACGCCAAAAATGGTTAAATAGTAAATAAATATGAACCACAGAGACATGGTGGATTTTCAGGTAACGTAAAAACTTAGGAGGCTTTTATTTTGAAAGCCAAGAGTTCTCACTTCCAGCGTGTCATCGTGCATCTTAACTCCCAGACATTAGTACAGGCTGGGCGTGGATGACGATTAATCCACGGCACCAACAAGGGGCCATGCCTTTGTCAGGATCTTTAAAAAGTCACATTCACTGCTACCACTTTCAGAACCCCAACTTACTACGTCTGGCCTACGCATGCGCAGAGTTGCTGCATGGTAAAAGATCCTGTGTGTCCGTCGTCGGTGCATGTCCACTCCTGCTGCACACCTACATCTGTCACATCATGCCATGACAATGGACCGTGGATATTAGCCATAGTCTGTGATGCGTTCAGGGACCTCCCAGCTCTGCATACACAGCACATGCTGGGACCTGCCACATGCTTGAGTCTCCAGTTTTGATGGGAAACAGTAAAAAGGTGTTGACTTCAAGTGCACCACCTGCAGCTGCTGTGACCTCTGACCTCTGACCTTTCAGACTGCAACTAAGTTCACGAAGAACAAGAAGTGGAACTCTCTTTTATTCAGATTTTTTTTTTTTACAGATTTACAAGTAGAGAACTGAACTTTCTCAAGTTTTTTAAAAACTTTCCATTTCTATTGGGTGGAAATGAACAACATTTTAAACTTGTAAGAAAAAACACTGAGCTGAACGACTGAACCGTCACTGAAACGTCTCCTGTGGTTCAACACTGTGTGTGTGTGTGTGTGACTGTAATCTCTGTATCTGAGCCAACACACTTGCACTAAAGCTCCATCTCACTCTCTCTCACTCTCTCTCTCTTTTATCAAATTTCCCACAATCCAGCAGGGCTGCTGGCAGACTCTGCTTCATATACATATGCTCCAGTGCTGTATATAAACGAACATGAACAGACTGTGCTTACACTCAGCCGCCTGCTCTAACTTCACCTTTATCACACACACACATTAAGCTTCAGTATGTAAACAGCAGCGGAGCAGAAATCGTTCCTCACACACACACACACACTTGAACATTTAATGCCCTGCTATGACTCACACACTTCTCCTGCCATAAAATGTCATGACCATTTATGTGCAGGAACTCCTGCAGCCTGCTGCACTCACACACACACACACACACACACACACACACACTGTTCCTGAACTCCACGTCACACAAGACAAACTTTTAACACAGTTTCTGAATCTGAAAACAAATACTGCACAACTACATGTTAGCACAACATCAGGTTTGTTCCAGGACAGTTGAGTTCAGAAGGGAAACCAAATCATTGCACGTGAGGCAGGAAAAACTTTTTTTTTTTTTTTTTTACATATTTTTCTTGGATGTTCGTAGCTGGATGCTGACATTTAAAGAAGAATCTGTGACATTTTACAAAAGGAAACCTGAAACCACTTGTACGTCCATTTTTTTTATTTTTATTTTAGCAGCTTCCACAAACGAAATACAACGTTATTCCTCTTTTCTTCTTTTCCTTCCACCGTCAGACTTTCAAAGGTGGAATTAAACAAAAGGAGCTGTAAGGAGATTAAAAAAAGAAAAAGACAACAGCCCTCATACACTGTAATAATCTCTGGTAATATTAGTTATTAATAAAAAAAAAAAGTTTTTCCCGCTGAATTTTTAAACTATGACAGTAAAAAGAATGAATCGACTGTTTCGCAAATAAATAATCCCCAAAGCTCCTGTGATCCTTTTGTGCTCTGAAGTTCATTTCAGTGATGCATTGATATCATTACAGACATTGATTCAAGAGTTTTCCTTCCTCTTCTGGCGTCGACCCCGTCAGCGTTGAGCAGAAACAGCAGCAGCAGCCGATGTGGACGACTCTCGAACGCAACACGATAAACCAGTATTTTTAAAATGACATTAAGACACAAAAACTGCAGTTTTTTTCTCTTTTTTGATACTTTCAAAAGACACCTTTTTTCCTACATTTTTATTCGTGGGCTCGACTCTCACAGTTGTGATTGTTGCACGGGTTCAAAATTGCCGTAGAAAAATAGGGAGACGCGCGGCGTCGGTGAAGGCAGAAACATTAAGGTTAGGAAACGTATCCTTAAAGAAAAACAAAATCGAATGATATGCTTGTTCTAGCACGAGACATGTGCGGTTATACACACACATACAGTACATCCACCCTAAAAACACTTGATCATCATCATCATCAATGAATGTTCTGTAGAAAAAGTCCTATGCAATATACACTGTACAGGCCCTCAGGAGGAGTCTGGTCTCCTCTGAATATGAAAGTCTAATGTCAACGCAGTGCAAAAAAAAAAAAAAAAAAATTTGTGACATTCCACTGAAGATACGACATTCATGGTTTCTTCACATAAACTTTGTCTGTGGTCATTAGTGACGTGTCCTTGATCTGAATGTCAAATTTTTTGCTGTCGTAGCGAGTGCCAAAGACATATAACAAGAATTTACGTTGCCCTCTCGCAGGCACGGAGACATTCCACAGTACTGTAATGTGATTGGGTCTACAGGTCTATGAAGACGCTAGTTTTCAGACAATCCGATGTCCGACCGGAGGGACGAACCGCTATCTTGCTAATGGTAAAATAACGGTGTCACTGCGGTCTGTTACTTAACGACCAAGTGAGCACATACGCTGATGACGTAACGCTCTCTCTGCTGATTTTTCTTTTTTTATCTTGAATTTCTATTTTTGAATCTGCCACATTTCCATATTCTCAGTATTAAAAAGAAGAAATCAGCAGCAGTGAAAAGTAACCAGAGTCAGATTGTTATTTTGTTTTAACAAAAGAAGAAGCGTGTGAAGTTTTCATAGAGTACACCCACAGATTAACTTCAACTTTCTTATTTTCACACACACACACACACACTCACACACACACCTACTGAATGTCACAACTCCACGGTCCAGAGGAGAACGGAAAACAAACAACACGCGTGTGAATCCACAGATTTTTCCGAGTCTTCTCACTGACTCTGCATTGCTTTGAAATGGAACGTTTTCCAAGTCTGAGCTCAAGCCAAGGCTCGTCCATCAATAAATAGGCGTTTAAAGGGTCCGCTCGGGTCGAAGAGTCCAGGAGTGTCACTAGCTGCTGTTGACTTTGAGGCTCTTCATGCGATGGACCAGCGAGTCCTTCTCCATCTGAGCCTCGGCCAGCGCCATCTTTGCTCGGGACAGCTCCAGCTTCAAACATTCGTTCTCCTCTGTCAGCATCTGCGATCGACGACGGCCGGAACATCAATGAACAAATATACAAATATTTTCAGGTCAAGGTTCACACAACTTAGTACTTTAATGTGAATGTTTAACAATAATTAAAAATAAATATAAACAGAATTCGTTAGGCTTTTATAGTTTATCTAAAAAAATTTGAATCATAATATTTATTTTACTTAATCAAACAAATGTATTTTCTGGACTGCAGCGTATGTCGAAGTATTCGTCAGACAATTTCTGCTTATAGTTTATCTAAAAAAATTTGAATCGTAATATTTATTTTACTTAAACAATCAAACAAATGTATTTTCTGGACTGTAGCGTATGTCGAAGTATTCGTCAGACATGTTTTGACTGATTTTATGTCTTTAGGTCATGGTCTAGTTTTGTTTCTTTACATATGGTTTAGTCGCATCATTTTTCAGTGAGTAGTAGCACTGTTGTGTAGACATCGCCATCTTGTGGCCAAAGATTACTTTGGGCATAAAAACTTCTACTACAAAAAATGTAATTTCATTAAAGTCTTTGATATAAAAAAAATGTTAATCAGACATTAGAAATGTTAACAGCACCCCCTGCAGGGTAGAAGGATTGGTTACAACTTCTTACATTGCAAAAATAAATCTAGCATTTTTACTATTTGTTCTCTGATACTGACAGATGAGATTATATTCTCACGGCTTGGTGTCTTTGCTACCTTAAACTGCGAGGTTACAAATACTGTCTGTCATGAAGCTCACCTTTTCTCTGGCTGATGGAGGAGGACTGGGGGGCGGGGCCTGAGTCTGTGAAGCCTTGTGTACTCTACAGACGACTGCCACGGCCGCAGCAACCTGACTCAGAGTCTGGTCATTCAAACTGCCGGTGGTTCTGGGTTTGGACTCTGCTGCTGTGTCCACTGGGAGAAAGAACAGAGACCAGGAGGGGGTATCTGGCAGAGAAGAATGTGTGTGTGAGTGTGTGTGTGTTCATCACCTCCTATAGAGAACGAGCCGTCGTCTCTCCTGTGGATGATCAGACTGTCCACGTGTAAAGTGATGGGCGTGGACTCGGGCTCAGACAGACTGTCCTGGGCTCCGTCATCCTGTCAGTGAGTCAGGAAGTTTTAAAAGGAAGCAACGACCTTTGACCTCCCTAATAAAATCAGACGCCGTCTCGGGGTCAGAAATCGACCACAGAGCTTCTCCCTGACTGCTGTTTGTGTCTTCATTTATTATATTCAAACAAATAGACAAGAAACAGAGGTCCCCAACCACTGGGGCGGGGACCAGGTAATGGGTCATTTGGTGCAAGGCCGCAAAATATAATTATAATCCGTTTTCTCACAGCTACAAAATTGTTGAATTTCAAGATACAAAATAAAAGTCTTTTAAAAAAGGGGAACATTTTCAAAGAGGAGACCGAAGATTAGATTAAAGGAGTTTGAACGTGGTGTGGACCTGTGGGAGGAAGAGGAAGTGGAGTGCATCTGGCCTACAGACCACAAATGTGGGTTGTTGTGTTAATTCAAATATATGTCACAACTGCAGCAGAGAAATGTGTCCAAACCAGTTACACAGAAAAACCCGTCCAACCACGGCAGAGGTAAAGAAACTACGTATTTTCTTTGTCATTAAACATTTAGTTCAAATCAGAAATCCAATTTCCAAACCCCTGCACGGTGTGAAGGGAGGATTTGAAGCCCGTTTCTCAACAAAACCATCCCAGACACCTCCACGCTGGAGCCTCACCTTCAGGTTGATGTGCGTGTCCCTGACGCTGATCTCCATGGGCAGCACCTGCGGAGCGGCGTTGTCCTCCATAAAGTGAGCCAGGTTTCGCAGAGTGGACATTATGAAGTTGGCCTCGTAGCCGTGGAGCTGCAGCTGCAGGAAGCCGTTGCGTTCGGCCAGCGGGGAGTGGGCTGCGGCGCAGGGCCCGCTCTCCAGACGAGCCCGTACCTCTGGGCTGTGGAGGCCGCAGGACGAAGAACTGCCATCGCCGCCTGTTACAGGAGAAGAGTACGAGTGATCACTGTGGTTACTATGGTGACGTTAACTGTAGCTTTAATTAAACTTCTGGTCTGATCTTAAAATACACCCTGTATGGAATCTGCACTGTAACAACAATCATACTTTCTTATCAAACATTAGCCAAAAGGTGGCTAATATTAGATCCAAAACAACAACAGCACCTGCTAACCATTAATTAGCCACAGATTAACCAAAAATATCAAGTTAGCTTAAAGGAGTTAATAAACCATTAATATAATTAGTTCAGGCGACGCTAAACAGTAACTTCAAAAAAAAAAAAAATTTCCAAAAAGGAGCAAATACTTTAGGCAACATCAAAGGTAGTCTTTTAGCAAGAGTTAGCTAGTAGTAACTAAAATACACAAAATAGCTAATAATTCCTTTTTTTTCCTCTTTTATCAGTTGTCCAACCAAATATTTTTTGGTTAATATGGTGTCTCCTTATCTCCGACACCACCAGTAGGCGCTATTGCTAAGTATTTTGGCAACAAAAATAAAATTTAATTAACTCCTCGCCAGTCGCCTCCTGGTGGTCGACAGCTGCTTTGACGATTCCTCTAAGAACTTCTTTTCAAATTAAATCGTAAAGTTTAATTTGTCCTTCATTACATATGAAAGATAGGATCAAAATAGTTTCACCTGGAAATCTGTGAAATTACAGAATCTTCAGATTCTAGACCTACGTTGTCGAGGTGTAACAGTCACATCACAGAATGTTTTACAAATCTGTTCTGTAAAAAGGTGTATTTTAAGGCCAGGATTCAACAATGTCAACATGAGACGTCAGATGAAAAAAAAAAAAAAAATAAGACTGAGGAAGGAGAACATAGAACAAAGACAGAGCTGGAGACGTAAAGACAAACGAGCTGGAAACAGAGCGGCAGGAACGGAGACGATGTTCAGTGAAAAGGTGGAGGTTTCTGTGGAAACCATCATTTCTTCTTCTTCTTCTTCAGTGTTGAGGTTTCATTAGAGATCAGGAGAATCTGGTGGAAACTTCCCACTGCAGGTTTCAGGAATCAAACTGACAACTGATCCTTTTTTTTTTCTTCCCATTTTTGACTTCCAACAAAAATAGTCTGTGAATTGATATAAAGAAGTCGCGACGGTAAGTCAGGGAATAACAACTGGAAGAGTTTCACCTCGGAATGACCTGAATTTGACAGTCAGCGCCAAAAAATGAGAAGGTACTATTTCTGCTCAGTGGGGTGGGAGAAGGCAGAGAATGTAAAAATAACTAAATAAATTAAAGAAGGTTAAAAAGAGGGCAACATTTTTATAAGGGGTTTTACCTAAACAGATTTTTTAGAGATTTTTCTGTATTAAAAATAACGTTATTTGGATTAGTCATAAAAAACCAGGTCTGAAACTCATCCATCTACCAGATGTTATTTATCTTTCTGTTCTAGACAAACGTAAAAATGATATACGTTATATAAACTTCTCTGTGATTAATCGGATTACAAATTTTAATCGTTGGACAAACTCCTGAATTCAGAACAGCTGATGGTGATCACTGAGTTGGTTGATTTTGTGTCAGGTGACCAACAGTGATGCCCTCTAGGGGAGTACGGCAAATTCTGAAAGTCGCGACGGTAAGTCAGGGTTTGACCTTTTAACAAAAAAAAAAAAAGGTCAAGAATCCCTGTATGTTTTCAAAAAGTTTAGAGGATGCTCCAATAAAATAAAAAAGTCATCTTTACATCTAATTCCCTCCAGGTAGCCTAGCAATTTAGAACTTTCCAGAATGCTTCTAGCTTAAGGTCTGAGGGGGGATACACCTCCTTTTTTTCATATTTAAGGACATGGACCAACGTTTGTGGAAATCCAGGGATGTAAAGCGGGTCTTTTACACAATCTTTGACACACAAACAAAAGATTCAGCCGGCAAGCTCAGCGTTACAGGGGAAACGACGACGAGTTGCGATAAAACACTCAGCCAGGCATGAAATGGCCACTTGAGGAGAAAATGTTTTTCATCGTAAGAGCAAGCGTTGCACTGCGTCCTTTAAAAATATTCTCTGAAGGAAAGTGTGGAGAGGGTTAATACTACGGCGCACAAAACATATAAGAAAAAACTCTCACACACACACGCGCGCACACACACACACACCCTGTCAGCCTTTTACAAATAAAATGACATTTTTCCTCTCCATACTGAACAGCTGGCAACTAGAAAAAGAGCAAGTGGTGAAGAGGAGAAGGAAATAATGGGAAGGAAGGAGGGAAGGAGCCAGCAGCCAAGGACTGAGAGAGTGAGATAAAACAGGGAGGAGGGAGAAAACGGCCCGAGGAGGGAAGGAGAGATGGGGTGGTGGGTAGGAAGATGAGAAGGAGCTGAAAAGTGAGGAGAGGAGAGAGAAGAAAGAGGGGAGAAAGAAGAGGAAGAAAAGGTGTTTTCTCCTGGTGAGGAGGAGGAGGAGGAGGAGGAGGAGAGGCATCCAGGAGGAAAAGCCGGTGTTCCTCTCATTGCCTGAATCACTGGAGTGAAACTGTAAAGTCTGCTGCAGTGAAGATGATGACGGAGGAGGGGAGAGAGGGAGAACCAGGGGAGGGCAGAGATGGGGGAGAGAAGAGCCGGGAGATTAGGGGTTAAAATAGACTGAAGAGAAAGATGCAGTTAATTAGAGTGTGACTCTCTCACACACACACACACACACACACACATACATACACACAATGTCCAACCACAGAGGTTGGAGCCTAATGTTGCAAATAATGAGACCCACTCTTACTCCATTACTGTCAAATTTACACAGTCTTTGAGTGCTGCACACACACACACACACACACACACACACACACACACATACACATACATACACACATACAACAGAAAGACACAAAGAAATGACTCAAAAGATAAAATTAATGCTATATGTGGTGAAAAAAAACCACATTAGTGCAAGAAAAGCTAAAGGTTAGCCAAAGCTAACTTCATAGCTAAGTCAAAGGTAATTAATGAGGTCAAAAACTAAATTGTCAACAGTAACTAAAATTTAGCGAGGGTACTGAAGGGGAACATTTTTAAAGACGGCAACAAAATAGCCTTCATTTAACTAATGAAGCTTTGAATTAACCAACAGTTTGCTAAAGGTTAGTTCCAAAATTTAATCTAAAAACAAATGAGCAACCACAGAAAACCACGGACAGATAACCAGATAATTACAAAATGCTACATACTTAACACCCCATGGTTAGTTCCAAAATTTAATCTAAAAACCAATGAGCAACTACAGTAAACCACGGACAGATAACCATCTTAGTGTAGAGGGATAAGAACAAAATGCCACATACTTAACACCCCACCGTAATTAGCATCTGATGACAATTAAAAATGAACTAAACGTGAGGTTCACCACACCTTTACCAAAAACTACATCAACTCCACAAACGTGAGGGCTGCTGTTAGCTTGTTACCTCAAATTAGCCAGAGACAACTGTGGTTAGCTTAGACGAGCTAAAGGACATATATTTATGCAGTAGCTGAGCCACAGTGCTGAAATAAGACTTACAAGAATACAAACACACACAGTGTGTGTTGAAGTGTACACAAACACAGGTCGGACATGAACGGACATGCCAGTTAGTAGTGAACGTGACAGACGTTACCTTGGCTGCTCTGAGCAGGCATTGGTACTGAACACACCATACCTGTGGGGAGTTATGGGAAAGTAAATAAACAACAAAAGAGGAAGAGGGAACTGTAGAAGGGTGGGGGTGAGGGGGGGGGGCGTGCATGTTACTGTTTGAACACTGCTGTGTTTGTGAATAAGGAACAATGAGCAGAACGATCTTTTATTCCTCTTTACTGTAGATTAAATGATATTTAAAGCATGGTTAAAGGGTTGGATGTACACACACACACACAGACACAAAGACACGCACACACACACGGGTTTTGTCTTATGTAAGGACTTTACAGAGACATATTTATTTCCCTACTGTTTAATCCTATGTTTAAATATGAAACAAAAGTGTCATTTTAGTCCTTCCTCTAACTCTAATCTAATCCTAATCCCCAGATCCTGTCCCCACAATTTCACTGACTGAAATGTCCCCACAAATAGAGCTACACCAGTTTTTTATTTATATGTTATATAAATATACATGTATATATTTATATTTATATGTCCATATATATTCAAATATATTCCCTGCAGTTTTCCATCCCATTACCCTCTACTGTGTTTCCTAACCCAGAGTCTTCTTACCGAGGCTGCGGTTACTGAGGTACTGTCTGAGGCTGAGGTTGCCCAGCTGAGTGGGCGTGACCCGGCCCACCTCCAGAGCCACGGCCGTGCTCTCGCCCACCACCTCCATACCCACGCACACGGAACGCACCTTTAACACCAGAACTGACACCTGGGGGAGAGAGAGAAACAGGAACATGCTTGAGGTCCGTAGGCTTGATTTAACATTAGGCTACAAGAACCTCAGGACTGCAGTCGGATCTTACCGTGTCTTTGGTGGGCTCGTCGATGCTCTGCGACGTCGCGCTAACACTGTCGGGAGAAGCTCCGCCCTCCTGCTCCTGGACGAACACCACTTCGGCGGCGGATTCCGTGACACCTGGGTCACCGATGCCATCTTTGAAGCCCGAGATTGACATGTCATCTGGTCAGAGAGAGAGAGAAAAATCAGACTTTAAAAAATATGACTTGTGTCCGCAGCTGTGTATCACAGTGTGGTTTACAGTAAACCAAAAAAAAAAAAACTAAAAAATAAATAATTATAAAATTATTTAATTATATAAATTATATAATTATTTTTTATAATAAAATATCAATTAAAAATATAAAAAAATATATAAAACGTATATATATATATATAAAAATGTGTCAAGGATGTTGCAGACTAATTAGAACGGACAACTTGAAATGATAACAGCTGCCTCTGCACTTTTTGAATGAAACAATGCTGCCACCTAGTGGTTAAAAACGTCCCTGCAAGTATACATATATACACGTATATAAAATTTTAAGCCCTAGACAAAAGACCATTTGTGTTCAAGTGTGTGTAGTATGTGTGTAATATGTGTGTGTGTATGACTCCACCTCTCTCCAGCAGGCTGTAGGGGTCACCGTCCTCCAGCAGATAGCTATCGATGGAGATGTTGTCCAGAGACTGCAGAGACGGGCTCTTCTTCATGTTCTTGTAAGACACAGAGAAACTCGACTGGGAGCGGTCCCGCATCAGACGACCACTACGAATCACACAGCAGCAGCAGACAGAGTGGCAACACCAGTGTTGCTGTTATTACTTTGAAGATGTCTTCTCACTTTACTGTATATTTCACCAGACAAAGGCTCAGACTGGGTCAACACAACATCACATAAAATCTTTTTTTTTTAAAGGCCAAGTTCACTGAAAATAATCCAGGTGTGTGAAATCAAAGTGGGTTTAAAAAACTGAAATGTCACAAAGAACAGAAGCTTAACACTGAACGACATCACCATCGCTGGACGAAAAGAAGGAAGACAACAACACAGACACAGACACAGACATGAGACAAGAAATATACATGTGGAAGCACAAATATATAAAGTGTGAAAACATGCTCACAGAGAATTAGACACTAGTGATGGGCAGAAGAAGTCAAATACATGAATCTTTTCATTGTTATAGATGATGATGATAATAATAATAATAATAATAAGTATTATTATTACTGTTATTATTATGTTAATTATTATTGTTATTATTATTATTATTATTATTTGGCAGTCCCTGTACTGTTCCTCCTTTGACCCTTGGGAGACCCTTGTGTATAGGAGTGTGTGTGCATGTATGTACATATACACATACTGTACATATATATATGAAGGATATATATATATGTGCGTATATTTATACACATATATATACATATACATACATATGTACATATAAATATATACGTACATATGTATGTATATGTGTATATATGTATATATATATACATATACACATACATACATATATATATATATACACATATACACATACATATATATATATAACTAAAATGTATAATTATTTAATTATCCACATTTGGAATCATGGTAAATGAAGTCAGTGGGTCAGCACTGGCCACAGGTTTAAGACCCCTGAACTGAATTCTATTTGAACTGAACTGCCCATCTCCAGTACACACACACACACAGCTTTGTACTGGCACAGACACACAAACATGAGCCAAGAGAGAAAGCCACAGATCCAGAGTCTTACATGTTGGACATGGAATAAAGGGAGGAGGATCTGCAGGAGTTTGAAGAGCTGAGGAGATCAGAAACCACAGACAAACTTCCTTTCCGTTGTTGGAGAAAGAGAGAGAGAGAGAGAACACACACGCAACGTCATACACACACGCACACCCACACAAAGAAAGCTCTTATGGATCAGAGCAGCAGCCAGGAGGCAGGGACTGACTAAAACACAGACAGTACATGAGATGATGAAATGCTGACAGACAAAAGACGAGCAGGCGTATGCACAGAGAGGCAGAGATGGAGCTGCTAAAAGACACGAGGTCAAAGGTCAAGCACTCACACCGACAGCGTGTCAAGAGAGGCTAAAGCACAAAGGTGCTATTTCAGACAACTTCAGCTGGAGAAACAGAAATGTTTTCAACATGCAGTTTAAAACCCAGCTGAATTTTTTTAAAATAAACAGAAATGTTTTCAACATGCAGTTTCAAAACCACCTGATTTTTAAAAAAAATTTTAATCTGACTTTCTATAAATCTTTTAAATTCCTGACTGCAGAAGTTTTCAGATTAATAATCAAATGTACTGTACAGAGTGTATGGAATTACTGTAATAAGGTGTCTGTGCCACAGGTGGTACTTTGGCTCCCCTTAGTGGTATAAGAGGGGAGCTAACTTTTTTAAACTGCTGTGCATGTCAGTGTCTTTGTGAGACAAATATGCCGCTGTCAAAAGTTAGTGAATCATAGCACTATTTGAATTAGCTGAGAGTTTAATTTGTTCTGTAAATTTATTTAAGCATAATATTAATAATATTTATGACTACAATATGTAGAAGCTTTAACAATGGATTAGTTATGATCCTCATTCGTTCCTTTGATTGACCCAGGATTGTTGTCTTCATATGGTTACAATTACAGCAGTTTTATTCATGTAAACAAAGCTGTACCTTTATCACGTGACTTTATGGAAATCACCACACAACACCTCTATTTGTGACAAACCTGGATATGGACTGAGGCATCTTTGCGGCTGCAGCCTTGTCTTTGTCGCTCCAGTCTCTGTTCAGTGGGTCAGATAGCGGGTCACCTGCTTGCTTTTTAGAGTCCAATCCCGCCAACCCGTCCGCTAGCACCTCGGGGCCTTCGTCTGAGCTTCGTCGTCCAGGCATTTTCGCCATAGTCCGCTCCACTGGCGAAGACTTGTGATTAAAATCCGGATGCACAGCAGAGGTGGAGGTGGGGACGAGGGGTTCTGGACCGGACGTGACACCGGTCTCCGGGCCTCCACCACACAAAAGCTGGTCAACAGTGCATGACTCTTTGGCTGCTCCTCCGTCAGAGCCCACCGGTCCCTTCTCCTTCTTCTCCACTGAATCCCCTGCATCGCTGCCAGGCTCCAGAGTTCCTCGGCTCTCTGACGGCGAGAGCTCGGACACCAGGGGAGATCCTGATCCTTCAGTCTGAGGGACAGGCCTTAGAAGTAAGGAAGCCTCGGCGCTCTTGAGCAGGAGGCCCAGGCAGACGCTGAAGGGCTGGTGGTCTGCGGGAGACTGCGATGGAACTTTCCTCTCCTTTTTGGAGCCCAGCTCCTCCAGGTCCTGCTGCAGAGTCTGCTGCAGGGCTTTGATGCTGCGCTGGAGCTTCATCAAGAACACGTACTGCCGGTGGCTCACCTGCACACAAGTGGACACGTTGTTATTTTCTGATAACAGCAGAAACAGGAATGTGTCGTGAATGAAGCATCGTATCTAAAAGCAAATTTAAAGTAAAAAAAATGTAAGTATGACTTTAAGATTTAGCTAATCTTTTGGTCTACTCTTTGGATCGTAGTTTTTGGTGGCAATTTTTTTGTAGCGACAGTTTTAATAGAAAGTAGGGAGGTCTCAATACAACCTGGAGTATCAGAGCAATAACTTCTTTAGTCGAGGTTAAAGCCCTACCTGAGCACTGAGATGCTTCTGCACGTGCACCAACACGTGCACATTTGGCTCATTAGTGGATGAAGAGGAGGACGAGGGACAGGAAGAAGGCAAGCTGTCCAGTGACAGTGGTTTATGGAGTCCATTACTGGGAGGGGGTGTGGCCTCAGTGCTGCGAGCGGCGTTGCTGCTGTAATACTCCTTCAGTAAACGTTTCCTCTGCAGCCGGGCCACGGCCTCTCCTGACGTGCTCTTGGACAAACCCGATCTCAGCTTCTCCTGGTACTGCACTACCTTCGCCGGCTGACACGCCCACACTGTGAGCGGAAAGGAGTCCACGAAGGGCTGAGGTCGCCCTCGGCCTCCACGGGTTCCTTCGTAGTCCACCCAGAACTGGGCGAAGTGCAGGGCCCAGAAGTCAGTGGCGGCCGGCATCTTTAAAGCATCCGTGCCCATGGTGGGCACAACCAGGCCCCGGTAAATGTCGTGGATCTTGGTGTCTTGTTCGTGAGCGTGACGCTGGAAGACAGGGTGGAGGAGGGGTAAGGAGGTGGAGGTGCGAGGAAAGGAGGTGAAGGTTGAAGAGAAGAACGGCTCCTCTTCGAAGGCTTGAAGGAGGGCCTCCAGGTGCGAGCGGGTGCAGTTGGCTGGTTGTCTGGTGTTGGTGGCCACCATCTCTGAAGTCTGTATGGAGACGGAGCACGGGAGATCAGGGGGACAGGAGGCGTCCTGGTCTGTGGGGATCACCAGCTGATGGAGAAGACAGACAGAGGACAATGTGTCAAATCAAGTCATCATCGTCAACGCGTGTGTATGTGAGTGTGTGTGTGTCTACACTCCACCTTGAGCATCAGGCCGTCCACCTTGATGTCAACGTGCTCGTCAGGTTTCTGAGAGTCGCTGAGTTTGTAAATCTCCATGAACTGCTCCAGACTCTGCCGCAGGTCCAGGGCAAAGAGGTTGAGCCACACTAAGCTGCGAGAATCCAGGACGAGCTGCAGGGCATTCAGCTGGGCGTAGAGGTTAGGACACGGAACTGAAAGGGACAAAAGAAACAAAATCCTTATTTACTTTCCTGGCAACTACACAGAAACAGAAAAATCTGTTAGTGAGAAATGAGAAGCAGGAAATGATTGTTTATTATTGTCCCTTTATGTGTGAGGAAATCCAATATGTGAATTAATTACTGGGTAATTTCGTATTCACTGCAGTTCAGAAAAATCAATGCCCTCTGGCACAAGGTTGTTTATAAATAAATTCAGCTGAACGAACGAATCTAAACCTGATGAATGAGAGTCTTTGGACTGAAATGAACAATGAACAAGTTAAATACGGCAAAATTAGGACTAAAATACAATTGACTTGACCTTGGATCCTCCTTAATGACACAGTTACAAAAACAGAGATGTCATACTGGGGTAGTCTTTTCCATCTGGGAAGTAGTACTCTGTGAATTCTACATGGATGGCAGGCATCTCAGGAGGAAGATACAAGGACTTCTTGTTACAAGAAATCATGGTTTTAGGGCTGGAGCGACGCTGGTCTGCCGTCGACACCTGCGAAATGATACGACAAACATGGAAACAGAGTTGTAAGGTCTGCGGTCATTTGATAAATGCAGGCAGAAACTAATAGAATCTCATGAATAGTCATGAGATCAGAAATTCCTACAGTAGAAGAGACCATGAATGCAACACTCTCCGTAGCCTAGCAACATGGAACCCACAGGTTTACTATACAGTAAGTTGTCCCTCTCAAAGCAGAGACATAAAATTAACATTGACGATGGTCAGTTGAACTTTGCATGGACTGACAATATATTTGTTTATTTTGCCACAAACTGCAAGAATATATTTGTTTATTTTGCCACAAACTCCCCTTTTGCATAGAATGTGTTGAGAATTGAAAGTGATTTTATTAGTCACTAAAATGTCTTGACGTTTTTCACAAATCAGGGTTTATAATTGAACAGGCCTGGTCTGTGATTTAATAGCATGTTGGACAGAACACGTGTGTGTGTGTGTGTGTAGTAACCTGGTAGATGCTGAAGTCAGCCATTCTCAGAACAATGGAGCTGGACATGAGCTGGGTCTTGGGCGTTCGAGGAGGGGGGCTGAAGGTGCTGCTGGATGAAGTGTTGATTTTTCCTGGTGGAAAAACAAAACGACTGTAGATGAAGGATAACGATCGAGATGAGGAATTTAAAAAAAAAATGTAAAAAAAAGAGCACCCAGGAAAGAGAAGAAGAAGAGCTACTCAGGTCTCCAACTAGAAAGCACTCTGGCTTAGAAAAGGTGTGGATCATCGCACTCATCTGTGCGCACAAACACGCTGAAACACTAACACTCAGGCGCCGCGGTACCTGGCTCTAGACACCAGCAGCACTGGGCTGGAGGCTGTGTGTGTGCGCTCCACTCTAGGAGTCCTCCATCTGCCTCCCTAAGCCCTACATCTCCTTCTGTTTTCTCCTGACTTCCTAGAGGCCCATAAACATCGTCCCTAAGGGACACTGGAGGACACAAAAAAAACCCGGAGGGGGAAAAAAACAACATAAACGCAGGTGTGTTTCTGCATTTCCAACAAAACACACACACTAACACACACACACACTCACAGCCCACTGTTTAATTACCATGCTGTGGGGAGCTCTGAGCAGGTCCTGACGGGTCTCGGGCCGCATTCTTTAACATCTCTACGTTGGACTTGAACTCATCCAGAAGGTCACGAGCCCAGCTGTCTCTGGTCTTGGTGGCCTCGCTGTAGTGCATCCAGTGGACACAGCTTTCACCTTAAAGGAGGATGAGGAGAGACAGAGAATGAGGATAGAAACTTCAAGTGGTCATAGTAACGTTAGGAGACCCTGGCCTGAGGTGTAGGGTCTGTACCTGCTTTGTGGAAGGGGTAGTAGTCCAGAGTGATGGAGCTGAAGGACAGCTGCATGGCTCCACCCGTTATCCTTTTGTTGATGACTGCTGAATGAACGGAAGGACAAATATGAAAAGAGAGACAAAAAAATAAAAGTTCATTTCATAAATTAAATTGCGTGTTACCTTTTTCCTTGGCGTGGATGTCGTCACAGATATGCAGGTCCAGGTGTCGGATCTGAAGATGGTGGGACGTCTCACACACGTCGAAGTCGCTGAACAGCTTGGCCATCGATGCGCTCTGGTCCGCCGCTGTGGATGTTTGCTGTGCTCTCACCTGCTGTGCTGAGGGGGGCGCTGATGACACCTAGTGACGAATAAAGCAAATACAATCACATAGGTATTTAGTGTTGATTTGTTTGTTGGCTTTTACCAAGAAGGTGTTTTTGTCTTTTGTCCAGCAGATGGCGTTTCCCATCATTCAGTATATCAGAAAATCCCATTTGGAGTGAGTAATGAAGCACAGATTTGATATTGAATTTTTCCTCACAGCATTTTCTCGTGCTACAAGCACACACCTGTTCCTCTGCGGCCATGCTCTTCCTCTGCTGCGCAGACTTCTCCATGGCCTCACTGAGGGACTTGGCGTACTGCACCATAGCTTTGAGCTGGGAGTCAGTCAAGACCCACAGCAGATCATCCAGGATTAGAATCAGCTTGGAGGCCACCACGTTACAGTCCTTCATCTGCATCAGCAACAATCCACAGAACAGATACAGTACGGGTTTCACAGGTGGAGCAGAGTCTCCACAGTTTAACTTCATTATTACTGACATTATAGAGTGTCAACATTAGGAACTCATTTTTCTGACCCGTCTCTTTAGCGTGACCCGTATCCTGGACTGGTTGGTGATGAGGCGGATGGGGGCGCTCAGCATCTCGTGCTCTGAACTCTGTATGGCGTCTGCCTCGATGCGGATCATCTGCCAACTGACCTCCTTAAACGTCAGGATCTGAAGCCAAGAATAAATATTATTTAGAGTAGAAAACATTCCATCTTAACTGTATACTAAAGAAACATACAGTAACTACACCCACCTCTCCCCTCTGAGGGTCCTGGATGCGGGTGAATCTCAGGTCACCGATGTTCCAGCTGGGGTTGACGCTGTAGACCTGCAGCTGGGAGAGCTCAAAGGAGGCGTTGAAGGCCTTGGCACTGATCCTGATCACTATGGAGTTGATGGACAAGGAGATTCCTTCCACTACCTTCTCTGCGAAGCCATACTCACTGCAGAGAGACAGGAACACAGGGAGTAGTCAGATGACTCGTTTCATCTTTATTGAAATATGTAGTGCCGGTTTTAAACACCAGAGGTCACTATTTTAAACATATTTTACACGGACTTCATCAACATTGACTCAATTTTAGAAATAATAAGAAATTGCTTCCCCTGTTAACCTATGGTGGGTCACACCATGGACAATTAGACTTGATGACATTCACATAACCAACCATTCACGCTCACGTTCAAAGCTACGGTCAGTACAGAGTGACCGGTCAACACAGTCCTCCATTGTTTTTGGACAAACCACAGAAATGTAACAACACACACCTTTGTCCTGATGCTGTTGCTATAGGTGATGGGCCATTGGGGGGCCGGGGTTCATCACATGTGCTCATCTCCATCACTACTTTATCCAGGGTCTGGAACAGAACGCAGGACATAAAACTGACAAATTCACATTTTAGTGATACTGTTTGATTTGTTTGCTTCACTTTAGAACACTGTATTTACTGCTATTACAGTATACAGTGGGTGTAGCTGAGACTGATAACTTTACTACTGCTTTTTTATACACGCCCCTTCTTTTCAGCAGTTAAATATTTTTCTGCCTAAGGTGTGAGACAGTGAAGTGTGAGTAGAGTTACATAACTACTGGATACATGACTCCAGAAAGTGTGAGACAGTGAAGTGTGAGTAGAGTCACATAACTACTGGATACATGACTCCAAAAATGATCTTGAACACTTCCTCGGGGGAGGGTTAGTTTGGTGGATCAAATTTAACAACTTTAAGTGAATTGAATTGAATGATGGTGTATTGTGTGTAAGGATGACTAGACTGGACTAGACTTCCTGCGGCATGTGTTCTAGAACATTCTACTATCTGGGGACATGGACCTGATGCTGTGTCAACATGACACCTGCTGCACGATCACTGACACGGCTGAAACTATAACTGAACTGTGAGTATACAGGAAACAACCTGTGTCAAAACAAACCGTTACACTTTCAGGAACTTAAAAAAAAAAACACGGCTTAAAGACTGTGACATCTGAACTGATTTGCTGTATTTGATTCCACGCATTTCTTTGACTGATTCAACTGACATGTCTGTAACACTTACCAAAGAGATTGGGTGAGTTTTCAACTTTGTCCATGGTATCTGTGAACACAAAAATAACAGAGGTCAGAGCATAGACATTTATTATTTTAAAATGTTATCTTTAAAATACTTCAGACAAAAATGTTTTTTGTCCTCCAGCATGTCGCAGAAAAGAGAGCTGAGGATCGGGAAGGGAAAGGAAAAAGATTTTAAAAATCAGATTGACTAGTTCACTGGTCCATTCAACTTTAAACCATGACAATTTTCCCTCAATTGCCACAAATTAGAAAGATGTTGATTCTTTCATTAGACTCATTTCATTCAAGGGCAGCTTCTTAAAGGCACCAGCAGGGGGTGTGTGCACATTCGACACTGACTCATCAGAATCATCCACCCCCCTCTTGGCAGCGTGCACACTTGTGCCTCAGACTTCTGCTGCTACACAAACTGAACGCACCCTTTAACACACATCCATTGATGCAGCGCTGCATCCACTGTAACTTTAATGACATATTGAGTGAACATAACCAAAGGAGGAGGGTTTGACTCTGTGACAGGAAGACAGAAAAAGTGAGACCAGAATGCGAGGAAGTGAGGAAGTGAGATAAACATCTGTGTTTTCTCTTACCACGTCACTGCACATGCCCTGGAAATATTGGCAGTTCTACACCTACACTTCAACACAGCGTTAATGCCAATAATCAGATCAATGAAGCAAAGTGGTACAGAAGTTAAATGTCATTCTGGTAAATGAAAAAAAGGGTTTAAGAAATGAGACATTTCATTATTATTTTAAAGCTACTGAAGAGAAAGTGTGAGACGAACGAGGACTGGACTTTGCTCAGAATAAAAAGTCCAGTCATGGTGAACTGGACTTTTACTGGAGCTTCAGTCAGTGTTTCCAGGGTGTGTCAGAGGCTGTTCTTGTACATGGCCCTGACTACCACACGTGTCGCTTTATATATACATACATACATACATATAGACATATATATAGATACATAAGTATATACATAAATATATATACTTAGATATTTAATATATTTATAAAAATATTTATATTATATATAAAAAAATTAGGTCATTTTTTTCGTTTCATATAGACACAAATATAAACAGATATATGTATATATATGTATATATAAACATATACATATACGGCATGTACATATATATTTATATAAATTATACAAAAATGTTTTAATAAAAGTGCACACATACTGTATGTATACTGACACACAGAGACATACTATGTGTGTTTGTATGTACACACAGAGACATACTATGTGTGTTTGACATATGTATTTCGTCTACGTCATAAGACCATAGGGTGTGTGTCACTCCCTCACCCGAATTGCAGCCTTGTTACATTCCACGCGGTTGATAGCCAGCCAGGTGGGCAGGTCCAGAAGGTTCTGAAGAACCTCCTCGTCCAGCTCCAGGTTGGTGAGTTGACCTTCCCCCTTCAGCGTGCTCAGGTTGATCTTGTCCGGTGACAGGTTCTTAGCAAACCTACGAGACACCAAAAATATACCAGAAATATAAGTTGGTGCTAATAAATTCTGATTAAATTGGATTGTGGTGCAAAATTTTAAAAAACATTTGGTTTGTAAAAACACTGATAAGGTGATTTTTTTTGATGATCATTTTGAAGGTAAAACAATAAATATAGGGCTGTTCTTATGAATCTGTGTTGAAGGCTATAAAGGTAACGATTTGTTGAAGTTGACTTTCACTCTGCGATTTGTGCTTTTCCTGTTTGTACTTTACTTGGTGCAAACGCCTTGAGCAGATAAACTCAGTGTCAATGACCTATGTGTTCCCTGCACCCATTCACAGTTTGATTATTAGCCAATAGTTAGCAGAGTGCTTAGGACTCTGAATTCTTTATTGATCTGAATGACTCTTAGAGCAGCACAAAAGAATTCCTCTGAAAAAGAAAATAACTGCCTTTGGAAATCAGTACAAGGAAAATAAGTACTTCCTGTTGCCTTTTATAAGTGTATGATTAGGTCTTTATTTATAAGATTAAATAGTTGTGAATATTAACATTTTAAT